TTTTTTTACTGCATGGTTGTTTAACTGTACGGTTGTTTATACGGTATGGTTGTTTCACCCTAAGGTTGTTTTTTCTTTATGCATGGTGTTTTTACCGTACGGTTGTTTTTAAATTAATTGTACCAACAAAAAAAAATGCAAGTTTTTTTTAACCGTACGGTTGTTTTTATCACATGTTTTTTTTGCCGTTCTGGGCTTTTTAACGGAATTGTACAGTTGTTTCTTTAAATGTACGTTTGTTTTGCAGTATTGTTGATTTTAACAGTACTGTACAATTGATTTTTAACGCATGATTGTTTTACCGTACGGTTGTTTTTAACCGAATTATTGTTTTACTGTACCCTTGTTTTATACCGCATGATTGTTTTACCGTACAGTTGTTTTTAACTGTAATGTACAGTTGTTTTTTTACCGCATGGTTGTTTTACCGTACGGTTGTTTTAAACTGCATGGTTGTACTGAACGGACGTTTCTAACAGTGATGTACACTTATTTTTTTACAGCATGGTTGTTTAACTGTACGGTTGTTTATACGGTATGGTTGTTTCACCCTAAGGTTGTTTTTTCTTTATGCATGTTTTTTTTTACCGTACGGTTGTATTTAACTGTATTGTAACTTTTTTAACGCATGGTTGTTTTACCGTATGGTTGTTTTATACTACATGGTTGTACCGAACGGATGTTTCTAACAGTGATGTACACTTGTATTTTTATATATATTTTTTTTACTGCATGGCTGTTTTACCAAACGGTTGTTTTTAACAGTACTGTAACTTTTTTAACGCATGGTTGTTTTACCGTACAGTAGTTTAAAACCACAAGGTTATTTTACCATATGGTTGTTTTTAACAGTATTGTACAGTTGTTTTTTTACCGCATGGTTGTTTTACCGTACATTTGTTTTAAACTGCATGGTTGTACTGAACGGATGTTTCTAACAGTGATGTACACTTGTATTTTTTTGTTTGTTTTTTACTGCATGGCTGTTTTACCGTACGGTTGTTTTTAACAGTATTGTAAAATTTTTAACGCATGGTTTGGTTGTTTTACCGTACAGTAGTTTAAAACCACAAGGTTATTTTACCATATGGTTGTTTTTAACAGTATTGTACAGTTGTTTTTTTAACGCATGGTTGTTTTACCGTAC